GAGGACGGGAAAGCAGAGCACAGTATACCCTGTGAGATAAAGGGTGTGGTGAGTGGTTAACGCATTACGTATGAGTTGATTCTTGATTGTCTTCCTCTTGCTACTAGAATGTAGCTCCCTGATGACAGCCTATCATCTTCACAATGGTGTGCCCAGTGCCTGGGTCACTGCAGTGTAGTATCTCAGGGAAAGGAGTGAATGGATAAGTGGATGAATGCACAAATAGTGGAAAAGTAGGTATCTCTCACATAGCCTATCTACAAAATATAACTAACGATGAATTTACAGTATGTGGTCATGAGTTATTATGTCTTACATCAGTGGTTGGACATGACCGCTAAATAGCCCCAGAACATTTTTTCTAATTGAATTTTTATATAGATAAAGGTGGCAATTCATTAGTATAAATATATTCTTAGTTCATTTTTATAGTATTTACTTACTATTAAAGACATCATTAGTAATGATGAGACTATTTTGATGAACCCAAAACTCTGAAATTAGATTTTTCCTGATTGTTCTAGTTTTATATCTATGTACCCTGTGAACTTTTCTTTTTATTCTTTGGACAGTACTGCGACTACTCAGACTTTCAAAGTTTAAAACCTGTCGCTATTATAACTATTAGCAGCTTGCCTTGAAATCTCTCAAAACAGTCTTCAATTAAACCGATTCTGCAACTTACATAGAAGAGCTGGAAAATTTCAAAGTTTGCTCATGAGCACTATCTAGCAACTTTTCAAATTTCTTAGTATCCTAGCAACTGAAAGTTAGACTAGGGGAACTCAACTAACCTAAGCGCTACACCAACTTACAAAGCAAAAATGGCACGTCATGATATGCATTCACATTTTAGCTGATGATGGACTTTTAGGCCAAGATGAGAAAATATATGGAGCAGATTTAGCTGGGCTTTGCATGGCATTGAATTACATATACACCTGTGTACTCTAATAGTGTACATGTTGGTACGTTTCAATCAGACAAGACATGAATAGGCCTGTTTTTTTAGACACTACAACTTAGTTAATAAGATATATGTAAAAAGTTTAAAATATATGAAAGTGGTTACAGAGGAAGCCGTATCTTAACATCCACACCCCAACAATCTAACCTGGCAGAATACAAGTATTAGCAGCTAACATGTCATAGGTACTTATTTCCCAGGCATTCTGCTAAGCACTTTTCATATATTAATTAATCAGTCATTAAAAGCTACCATACGAGGTAGGAACTATTATTAACTTTATTTTGCAAACAAAGAAACAGAGAGACAGAGAGAATAGCTATATTCAAGGATTTCATACATCAGATGTTAAGAAAACTACTGTTCTAGATAGTGCTACAAAGCTCTTTGCCGGCTTGACTCTGAATTCCTTGCCTAAATACTCTTTAGTTATATAAACTGAGTTATACATAGTGGGTATTAGAAAAGTCATATTCAAGCAAAAAGCAGAAACTGGATTCTGGAAATTCATTTAGGTTGATGATAAAATTAAGGCTTAATTATCAAAATACATGGGAATTCCAAGGCGGTCTGTATCCTTCCCACAGGCCTGGGCTATGGAAGATGGACCACGGTGGGGAGACTTCTCTCCCTGGAGATGATCCTCAGATGGCTAGAATGGGAGGATGGTCCGTTTAAGGCCAGCCCCAGGGAGAGGCTTGATCTCAGTAAAACTATGTGTGCAAGGACCCCTGTGCTTGGATGAAAGGGACCAATAACGATCACCTATGCCTTTACGTCTCTACAGAAACTGTAAGAAAGATAAGATAAAATGGCGTGAAATACCCAAGATTAAATGGAGTAATCTATTTTACAATCAGCATCAGGTAAAACAGGAACAGCCACAAGACTGAAAATAAATACGTTTCAATGTGCTAAAAGAATGTACTAAGGGAGTTGCTAGGATGAAAACTGCGAGCCGAAAGGTGAGCCTCCTACCCAGGGTCAAAGAGACAGTAACTTAGTTCCCCTCCTGGAAGTTGGTGGGGTTGGAGCCCTGTGGACCAATACCTTTGGGATTCCTGTAGACTGGAGCCTTCATATCTTTATACCTATAGATTTATTTAAAAATACTTTTGTAGTATTGCTAGGTCCTATCCTAAGCTCTTTACAAATATTAACACATTTAATTGTCAAGACAACCTTATGAAGTAGGTACTGATACTATCATCTCTATTTACAAATGCAGAAGCTGAGGCACAGAAAGGAAAAGCAATTTGCCCAAGGTCACAGAACTAGTAAATGAGAATTGAAGTCGGATAGACTAGCCCTAAATGCCTCATTCTTAACCACTATGCTCTATGTAAAGGGGATTTGGGGGAGTAGGAGTCTGGTCAGTGACATTCATGTTGGTTTCACATATTTCTGATGTGTCACCAGAGACCGCAAAGTTTTCAAAATAAAATATCAAAGTCTTAATGGGCTCTAGTTTAAGAACAATGAAATTAAACACTCCATAAAATGAACGTCATAGCTTTTGGAGTCTTCAATTGCTAAGTAGTCTTTGTTAGAGAAAAATATATATGTATACACACACACATCTGCATATATACATATATATGCATATACACATATATAATTTACAGTTATATGTAAATAATAAACAAAACCAAAAACTATTAATGGTTTCTTCAACTGCAATATTTACTCATGAGCAGAAAAGCAGAAACAAAACCTTAGATCCCATGGATCAGCTTATACCCCTTTCTTTCTTGGTCTGGCTAAACCACGGTTTTCAAAGCCCTCATTAGTAGGATGACAGCAGTGACCATGTGTGAAGGAAGCAACATTGCCTGGGTGCATAAAGCCCTGTGACCATGGTAAGCCTTTCCCGAGCAGTGTGGGTTAGCAGGGTAGAATGGAGTTGAAAGTCTAAAGGTATTCTAGTAGGAAAAGTTGAACTTTTAAAATATGGTCTAATTCGCAACCAAGAGAATCATTAATTCAATATTGTTTTGTCTTTCTAGCTTACCTTCATTATATATTTTACAGTTAGCAGTTGGCAGCTGCTTTAAACCACTCAGAGACATACACATTCAAATTAATGTTTGCTGGAAAGCTGTGTTCTTTCCAGATGAGATGACCAAGTCTCTTTTAATTTCTTCACCGGGGCCTCAGAATTATCCAGGCAGCCAATAGGTCTGATGGGAATGCTTATATATTTAGAGAAAGGCTGCTTGATCACTGAGTGATAGGTAGGAAAAAGGTGTCCATTGTACAAACACAGGAGCACAACCATCGTGTTTATTAAGTGCCTACTGCTTGCTAGCATTCCGACACAATGATGTACCATGGTCACATGTTCCTGCCTTTCTTGAACTTTCTGCCCAGTCAAGGAGACAGATGGTCAGATGATCAGGATAGTGGGTGTCTAATTACAAATGGAGACAAATGGTCTGAAGAAAATAGTTTTTCGCAAGTGTGTAAGTAAATAAGCCGTCCTAGACTTGAAGCTGTGGGTGAGGACAGCCTGGGATGGATGGTCTAAGAAGCAGAAGAGGAACATTCCATACAAGGAAAACAAGAATAAAGGAAAAATCGCCTGTGTGCACATATAAAGTTTTTGTGGTTGAAAGAGCACAGCATCGTCAAGACCTGAGGGAGCACCCATATGGATGGCGTCCTGGGGAGCCGTGGTGGGGAAGTGGTGGAAAATTAGTCTGAAAAAGTATGCAGGGGGCAGGCCACATGGGGCCTTGTAGAATTCATTAAAAATGGGTATTTTGTCCTGAGATCAATGGGAAGGAATAGTTGTGGAAAACCATGATCAAATATGTTCAAGGAACTTGGGTTTCCACTGACATAAAAGGCCATGGCAGCTAGTCACTCGGGTGTTTTTTTTTTAATGCAATTGAAATTTATTTGTCTGTCTACCTACCTGTTTATTTATTTATTCACTTATTCCCAGCTTTATCGAGGTATGATTGCACATATTTAGGTTTATATACGTGATTATTTTAAGGTGTAAAACATGATGATTTAGTATATGTATGCATTGTGAAATGATTACCACAATCAAGTTAATTAAGACATCTATCATCTCACATTTAATCCAGCCTTTAGAACACAAGCAAAACCCAATATACCTAAATGTATGGTGGCTCTAGATCATGACAGGGCACTTCATAAATGCCACTGGACCAAGGCCAGTTGTCTGATCTTACTGATCTTACAATTCCCCACACCCTTCAACCTTCATCTTTTCAGTTTAGGCAAGGCAATGATTTAACACACGAACAGTAAGTGAGTGGTTGCTCTACTGATTTCTCAAGGAAGCAAAAGGAGACAAGGACAGCAAGGAGGGCACCATCCAAACTACAAATAACACACTGTCAGAATGAAGTTTTGCATCCTATTAGTAATTTGTTGATGTTAAGAGACTGGACAAGGCGACATCACTAGATCTTGGTCCCTTGCCATTGGTGTTTTGTAAATCAAAATTAAGCAAGAACTTACTTTCTAGGGAAACTCAATGCACTACTTTGTAGGTATGGTGAGGGTGAACCCTTTAAAACAACAATGCAAAAAGAGACATATATTGATATAATGACTTCTCAAATAAGGTCCCACAGTAACTGTGTAGCAAGAGATCATGTAGTGTTAATTGTTTTGTGTATGTATGGGGGAGAAAAAATAACTACCCTTTACTCAAGATTACACATTTCTATGATCTTCGTGTCTTTACATTCAGTTGCCATTCTGACTAAAGGGCCTTCAGATCTGATTAAAGGTCCACCCTGAACTTCTATGTGGGAGACTTTTCCAGGGCAAGCACGCACAGGGATTCACCCAATGGCATTCAGTCAATAAATATACACATCAGCTCGCCAATAAATCTGCACAGTCATTGTGTCTTCCTTTTTTTATCAGAAGGATCTGGAGATTGCTATGCTTTCTTCCCTACCCATAGTCCTTCTTGACATTGCATTAAGTGTTCAGACTCCCTCTGCAGTCATTTTATTTGTAATAGTGTCTTGTGTGTTGTGTCTCCTAGCTCTACATACAAACCACCACGCTTACAATCTCCATGAACCTAAGTGCATCAGTGGCGCTGGGGATGCTGTACATGCCGAAAGTGTACATCATCATTTTCCACCCTGAACTCAATGTGCAGAAACGGAAGCGAAGCTTCAAGGCGGTAGTCACAGCAGCCACCATGTCATCGCGGCTGTCACACAAACCCAGTGACAGACCCAACGGTGAGGCAAAGACAGAACTCTGTGAAAACGTAGACCCAAACAGTAAGTAACTCTCCTTTCCTTTCATCTTCCCATCTTGCATCAGTAAGCTCCGCGAGATATGGTGTGAGCTTGCCTTTCTTTGAAAAAGTACCATGACTATGATTGTCTTGGATAATGGGTTGCCTTGGTGAATGCTAACCTTTGCTCTTAAGAGTTTGCCTCATTCTTGCCACCATTTTCTTTTTGCTGTCTGTCAGAAAGAAGCTTTTAGAGGTTCTGCTTCAGAATTGTGAAGTCTCCCCCTTGCCTCGCTTCTTGTCCTTTTGTACCAACCCCTCCAATTGGCATAAACACAGCTGTCAGGTTGTGAGGTAACTTTCATGACCCCTTCCTGTTAGGGGAACAACTTCCTGTTAGGGGAACAACTTCCTGTTAGGGAAACTTCAACACTTGATTGATTGTAGCAGTAGGAATGAAATTGGGATATTTAAAAACCTTGGAAACACAACTTTTTTCCACTGCAACACGAAAGTGGAAAAAGTTATGATTCTTTACTAAGCAAGGCTTCTAGAAACCAAAACATAAAATATTGAATAAAGCTGGCAAACTTTCATCCAAGTATACCGGCCCAGACACTTCTATGCTAATGGCATCCCCACCTGGGAAAAACATGTACCACACCACTGCAGAGGAGTGAAAGACATTCCATGAAAGACATACGCGTAGGGGCGGGATTAACGATGCTATGTCAGACTTGATACGCTACATGGCATATCTGCAACCCGTGGTTTGCCTTGAGTCACCCCTGCAAAGACCCCAAAGAAGATGGGCATACAGACACCACTTTTTTTAAAAAGTAAAAGACATTTAATCAGAGGCTAAATGCATAGAATTCCCAATTGCTGATTTTACTAACACTATTGTGGTAAGAGTGAATTTCGGACTAAAAATGTGACTTCTAGGATTTATTTTCCAGGAATATTTTGACGAGTTCCATATAGAATGAGGCATATTGAAGTGTTCCTGATGCTTCCTGTTTTTAAAGTAAAGGAGGATTCAGGTTGTCCATTAAGTCATTCAAGACACATTATTTTTCAATTATGAGATGAATTTGCTGTAGCCAAAGGCTTATTGCCAAGCAGAAAGTCCCTATTCTAAATACTCTGAGGTAATCCTTTATGCTTTGCAAGTAAGAGAGAGATCTTCAAAAACCAGGAGGCAACTGAGTTTGATCCTGACAAATATTGTGCAAAGATCCATGGTCTTAGCCCTTCTCCACATTTCTAAGTAGTTAGTTGAGTGAATATTGTGAAACACTTTGAGAATATGTAGACAAGTTAACAGAGACTTATTAACAACATCACGGGCTTCACTTTGACTTTTCAATAGAAGAGATTCTCGGACAAGTTGAGAGGCAGGAGAAGGAGCTCACGGAGAGAAGGGAGAAACAGAATGGATACACAGGATCTGTTCTTGTGTCTTCAGAACAGATGGTCACTGAGAGGAGGGGAAGTGAATGGTGAATTGCTATGGTATTCATTGTGATGTAGGAAGAGGCTTTGGGTTGAGACAGACCTGGGTTCAAATCCAAGCCACTCCTCTTACCAGCTGTATGGCTTTGAGAGTCATGGAGCTTTTCTAAATCTCAGCGTTTTGATGTAAAAAATGGAGATAATAATATCCATGTCATAAGATAAGTGTGTCATAAATTATCATGCATGTAGAAAATAGTGTCAATTAAATTTTAATTTCCTTCTATTCCTGAAAAGGCAAAAAGATTTGCCTAAAAGTTATATAGATATGATGGTATGTTTAAAAGCGTACTAAACATGATGAGGTAGACGGAACTGATTCACAAAAAGAAATATTTCCATGAACATACTTATGCGTCTATTTATATGTATATCTGTATTGATAAATATACATACATAGTTATACTTCCATAGAATTTTATTCTAGGGCCCCTTGTCATATTTGCAGTTCACAAAACCCTTATCCTGGAGACATTCTAGTAGCAGTTTAACATTTATATCTAAACACAAACACATACACACGCAAATTTCACTAGCTATGCCCCAAATCAACAACCAGGAAATAAGATCAAAAGTCTGTATGTATTTTAAAAAAAAGACCAAATTAGAAGTTTTGAATTTGGACAATTAATTCAATACTATGCTAATTATTAAGAATAATTAGCTTTCAAACAACATTTCACTGTTATTAACTTTTAGTGATTAGGGTCTATCCTTGTTGAGGCTGTATGGGGTATGATAATGGCTGTTAAATTGCTAATACCAACACTAACACTAATACTAATACACAGCCTCCTTTTCAAATAGCCATTATGCAGAATGCTTTGTGTGGACGCTCTCTCTTACTCCTCACAGTAACTCTGTAGAATGGGAAGTATTATTCTCATTTTAATGAAGAAACCTAAGCTTAGCGAGATTAAGTGATATTACCAAAGTCACACGTTTAGTTAGCAGCAGAGGTTGGACTGAAACCCAGGTCTGACTCCCAGATCCCTGCTTGTTTCTCTTTGCTGCTGTGTTTCTTAGAACATGAGTGGCACGTTACAATGCCAATGCAGAAATTGGTCTTTGGGCTTGCTCATTTGCTAATGCAGCTTGCATTTAAAGAATATAATGATGTATGGTGCTTTGAAATGTGTTATTGCTTGCTTTGTTGTCTACAAAGACAGGAATAAACTGAACTCAAAGAAGGCTGCCCAGGTAGAGGCCTCATCTTACTAACTCAAAAATCCAAGTGTCTTATTACCTGTGTCAATCACAATTATTCCATTTGGAATGCATTTGGTGCCTTTCCCTTGAAAAAGTTTTACTGGGTTTTGTCATTGTTGTTTTGGGGTCTACACAGAGCAAAGATAAACAGTTCCGGAAAAAATAAAACCAAATATAGCCTTTGCGTCACAGACAGTCCAAAAACTTTTAAAAAATTGTTTGTTCTTTTGGTTTTGTGTAGACGCTTCCTAAAACACCATACATAATTTGAGTGGATATTTGCTGAACCATAGGAGGAGATTCATGTACCTCCAAACATTGGGGTTTCTGATGGCCCAGCTCTCAAAGATCCCGAAGAGGAATCAAAAGACCTTATCTGCACAAAATCTGTCCAATAGAACTTTCTGCAATGATGGAAATGTTCTCTACCTGTGCTGTGCAGTACAGTAACCACTAGCCACATATGGCTATTGGGAGCTTGAAATATGGCTGCTTAGCTGAGGAAATATGCTTACCATTTTACTCCATTTTAAATAATTTAAATTTAAATGGCCATCTGTAACTGTGGCTACTATATTGGAAGGCAGAGCTCTAGAAATTAATATATCTTAATAGCAACGATGTCATATTAGGACACTCAGGCTGAGCCCATATTGGAAATGCTTCCCAAAGTTTTAGCAATGATGCTGATCTGGGATAAAGTCAACCCAAAGGAAGGAAACATTTAAGATGAGACAAAAATGCAAACAAGTAGCTGTTTAAAATGATCTAATGAAGTCACTAATATGGAAATAGTGGTATTATAGATAACAATTATATTTGGAAAACCAGTCTGTAACAATGCAAAAATGTATGAATGTAGGAAAGAGCAGTAATAAAAAATTCAATTAATGAAAAGTGACAGAAAGACTATTCCGATGGGAGGAAACATTATTATTATATTCTATTTAATACCAAATATAGCTCAAATCATCTCAAATTTCTGAACTTTGGTAACAGACAAATTATTTGCTAAAATTAAGCTATGTGGTTAAAAAGAAACAAACAGAAGCACAGACCATGCACTTGGGAAAGGAATGTGTCTTTCCAAAAGGGAAATTCCATGCGCTATCCTCTGAGGGAGGGTATCGGGGAGGAAACCGAGTATATAGTATGAGCTACAAAGTAAATAATGAAACAGAAATGTCCCCTTATTCATTGTTGCTCTAAACACTCAGTCTCAATGTATTTCAATCCTCAGTGTTTTCGTTTTTAACAGCTCTGCTCCATCACTGCAGTTTGCCATCTGGTGCATGCACGCTTCTACTCATCCAGCTGCACACTGCAACGACATGTCCACATAAAACGAATTTGCTTGTTGGCTTAATAAGGGCAGAAATTAAAACTGCCCAAGCATTGCCTGATTTTTCCCCAAGAAGTTCAATTTTCCTCTTAGGTTGCTTCTCCAGTTAAGATGCCATTGTTTGAAAGGAAAACCTCTTTCTGTATGGAACAAATGAAAAGCAAATCTCAAAATTTTAATGTATCTGTGCACTACAAAACATGTTGGATGTTCAGAGTTGAGCCAATGCTTGTTCATTTCTGAACTCAGATTGGAAAACAGCAGCGGGTATAGAGGTATAGCTCAGCCACTTAATGAAGGGTTTTTTTAATACAAACAAAATTTCTGTTGCTAGAGGATTGGAAGACCCTGACCTAATTTGGATAGCTTTAGATCTGGCCACGATGATGCCTTCTCAACAATTTTTTCTGCAAAGGGCACCTCAAGCTTTGGTTCTTGAATGTGTGTCCTGAATTTGGCATGTTTTCCTGAGCTTTCTATTACTGATTTTGCAGATATATGTTCATGGCAAAGATGTAGATGCCAGATAAACAGGAGGATTGGGTGTGCTTGGGGACTGACTTACTGATGGCCACCAGGCCCCTTTTCCAGTTGGATGGATAATGGTACCTGAGGCAGCATGGCTTTTGGGGGATGTGTGGGTAAGAACCGCTGCCTTCCTCACTTGGACTGGTCAGAACCAGAAGATGCTCTGTGAATTATCCTCTGGTCAGATGCTCTCCTTATAGAGGATCATGATGAATAATGATGAGCATCCCTAAGCTACCTTTGTCCTAAACTACCGTCCATTTTCTAAACCAATGCCCCCAGACAGTGCAGAGAAACTCCCCAAAAATCTGGACTGGTTACAGAAAGTTTGTTCTGGAAGGCCAGTAGCAACTAGAGATGTCAGGCATGTGGACAGCTTGGGAAAGACCCGTTTTGCAGGTGGGAATGCATAAGTGATAAATGACCCTGAAATAGAGGCTGGACTTACACTACGTGAAAGACTAGTTTAAGCCAATGAGCACACTGTATGGTGAAGCACACTTTAGAAGAACAATAACTTGCACCTAAAACAGAAAATCTAAAATAAGATATTTTAAATATAAGTGTACATTCTGATGCTATTTTTCTTTTACTACCATTTTTGCATCTACTGTAAGGAAAATATATAAATAAAAACTTGGTCTGTTCTCAAAGAAGGCAAGTATTACATAAAATAGTAAAAGATAAAGAAGTATTTCATTTAAAAAAAAAAAAACTCCAAGACTCAAACTGCTAGAAAATGGATGTGGGTGTCAAATTCTATACAAGTAACAATGCCTAGAAAATTCTGGAACACCCTCCCATGCTGTGTTAATTTGCCGTGGTTTTTTGTTTTGTTTTGCTTTTTCATTTGTTTGGATCCCTAACATTCTGAACATTACGTTGTTTGTTTCATCCTTCTGGACTAACCTCGCAGGCTGGTCACCATAACTGTACTAGGCTGAGAAAAAAGGGATGGCAACAGGAAGAAAAGGATGCTCTGATCAGATAGACACATTACTTTGGGGCTGGTTCCCTCAACTACTCCAGCTCAAACGAGTAAACCCATCTGCCTAAAACCAAGAGGCGCCAGTACTCCCATGTTCAGAGGTACCTGAATTGTGGTGAACTGGTCTACCAAAAGACTATCAAACCCACTGAAAGAGTGGGAATAAAGTCTATGGTCTCTATCGCAGCCTCTTCTCCAAAAGGAAAAAAAAAGAATAAAAAGGAATATTGTGTGCACATTTATTTTATCCGTACCTATATATTTACTTTTCCTGTAGACTGCATACCACCAGTAAGAAAGAGTGTACAAAAGTCTGTTACTTGGTACACTATTCCACCAACAGTATAGCTTTTGCCTGCTTTCCAAAAGGTAAGAAACAATCTAATTTTTATTTATTTGTGTGTTGTCTCCACTGAGAATTAAAAATGTTTTCATGAAAACTCTGCATGATTACCTGTAAATCTATTCACATGAAGAAACGTGTTTTCAAAGATGAGCTGTTTGTTAAGCGTAGTGCAGACAGCTGTTAAGGGTCACGTGCCTGGTTTATTCTCTGGAGAACATGTGTATAGCGTGTGCACGTTTGTCTTTCCGGAACAAGTAGTCAATGGTGGCAGAATTGGTGCTGGCCATTCTGGTCCATAGTTTACTTTAAAAATACCAGTGATGAGAGATTATTTTTAAATGGATGTTTTCACATTCTGGTTTTAGAAGGCAATGTGGAAAACTTATAAGGAGAGAAGGGGGACGTTTTACAAGCCTAGTAAAAATGTTTTTTCTGGTTCATTTATTAAATATTTCTAATAAATAATATCACTTTTTTATTAAATGTCATTCCTAGAAATGTGTTCATTCAAAAAACAATGAATGGCCTTCCCATCTTAAACCCAAAATGACCTTGGATCCTTCTTTTCAGCAAAGAAAGAGAAAGCGTTTGCTGGCTCTGCTTGATAATGTGTTGAAGATGGTTTGTGGCTCATAGTTCTGCCTTAGAGAAACACTGAACCAAGTTCAGTCATTTCACAGAACAGGGAACAGTTTAATGAAAGGCCACAAGAGTCAGAGATGAGTTTCAACATTATTCAAACCCAAGAATTACCAATAAATACCAAGAGTATTCAAACTAATAGCTTAGAAGAAATAGTGGATTGGGAGGAGTGTGAACTAGACACAAGAATGGACTGGCATAAGAATTCTAATTGATTTGCCATTGATGCCTACAGATTATCTGGGGCTCTCACTAAACGATATAAAGTTATGAAAGAATAATAGTAATATTATTATTATCATCTCCCTGTTTCAGCCTAAGAAATATAATATAGTGGAAAACAACACTTGCTTTGGCAAACATCTTTGTCCAGCTGGGAACAGGGCATTCCAAACTGTGGGAAAATAAACAGTAGAAAACATGGAGGGGAGTTATTAAAATCATGCAGTTGCTTTGAATAAAAGATTCCCTTTGATTTCCTCCGGACCTCTTATTGTGCTTATAAAGTAGATAAAAAAAACCTATCTCTAGAGTGACTCCAAGAGAGAGAAAGCAGAGAGGTCACATTGGGTTTGGGGGTGGGGGTGGAAATATTGCTTCACAATGTGGGCTAGTCTCACTTTCCTATGTTGCTAACATGGATCTTTTTATCACATCTTTGCTGTGTTTCTTTGCATCTTTGTTTTTGTAATAGTATTCTGAGTACAAATAATATCTCGCTCTTTCCATATCCATTTAGCACTGTAACACAGGACAAGAGTACTTTCAAGGAGTAATTACGTTTCCTGTTGATTTTAGACGGATGCCAGCAACAGAGTCTTTAATTTCGGATGTATTGTTCACATGGTTATTTCCTTTCCCATATCAACATGATCTGTCCTAGTTTCTAAATAGGCCATTCTTTTCTCCCCATGAATATATAACTGTATTCCAGTGACATCTCAAGTTTTTGCAGTACAGTGCTTGTCAAAACACTGCAGCTCATCATTTTAATAGTCCTTTTACATGCAACTGCCTGAGAATAAATGAGAAGGAATTTTCCCTGGGTAAAAACGATAGATTTAATCTCAACCCATTAAATATTCTCTTTAGCTCCATTCTAAGTTGATACCTCTTGGTTTAAAGGGTGTAAAAATAATATGTAAGTCAATCTTTCAGTTAAAAAATTACTTTCAGGATGTGCTGTTTAGAAATAAACTTAAACTTTTTGCTAGGATTGTCTTGTTTCAAAGATTTTGATTAGGTGCTTTCCCTTTCTGCCAGTGTTAAGGTGTCTTGACAACTTAATGAGAAACATCTCATACAGCTCCTTGAAAAATAATAAGAATAGAAGTTGGTCTAAGTCACATGTATTCAAAGAAGGAAGGGGTTTACCTTGTTCAGGTTACGATGAGACTGGAAAGCTTGGACGAGCAGTGAAAGAAGGTGCTAAATGTATGTTCGAATCCACTTCTATGTGGTTGTTTTCAAGAGACGAAACAGTAAAGAAAAACCTATAGATTCAAGAGTGAATGTTTGTACTACTCAAGTAAAACTTCGATTTCAGCCACCGTGCCCCAATGGTGGCACACTATATAGAGCAAATCATTCTGCTTGTGGGGGTTGAAGAGGCGGGTTCAAATTCAAACAAAACAGAATGCAACCTGCTTTGAAAATGCCTTCCATATACTGCCTGCCGTTAAGAGCATTCTCCTTTGACAAACATGACAGGCCGGACATTGGCTGAGTCAACACTGCCTACAACTTTTGTTTGAATGTTGAGAAATTTTAAAACTCCGCAGAGTGTTATCAATTTAATGACGTGCACTTTAAAATGCAATTAAGCAACAAAAGTGCAATTAATCTGGCATTGTCATCAGGTCAGGAAAACAAGTTGTTTTGTTAGGAGGTAAATTTTCACACCACAGGATGGAGTTCTCATTAAAAAACTTTAAGAGTCTAACTCAGCCTTGCAAATATGGACATTTAACAGTGGAGTCATTTTTTTACAAGATATCTGCTTCTGAGAAAGTACATTGGTTGTAATATTGTTGCCATTTCACTAATGTATTAAATGATGTTGTAAAAAAATTGGTAATCTCTTGTTTGTTAAAATTACTATAATGAGGTTATTTCACATTTTCAAGCTTTCTAGAACTGTGCGATCCAAGGTTTTCTGTCATTTTGAGACTCTCCCTCCTCTGTAACATTCAATGTGATGTCTCGGAGTTAACTGGAGACTCCCTCAATGTAAAAACTATTTTGAAGCACTCTATAAGTATAGCATAGCAAAGAATATATGTTATCTGACCTTTGACATGAATCGCCTTAGAAATAACTGCAGCTATAAATCTTTTTGGCATATTTCTTTCTGCCTAAAAGATCTGCGAAATACCATCATTTCTCTTATCAGGGGTTGATATCTCAGCATCCTCAGAAACCAATTAATATTTGCCATCTCAGTTCTGCAACTTCAGTTCAACTTAAAGAAGGGGATAAAAGTTCCCGTGGCAGGATTTCTACTATTTCTTAGCATAAAAGAAACATACACATCATGCCCCAAAGTCATGAAAACCATGCCAAGGTTTACATTTAAGCATGTCACCACCACATCTGGGTAGGATTTATGAACTGCAAGAGTATTCTGAAGTTGGGTCAATCAAAGAAACATTTATCAAGCACCTCTCCTATGGGCCAGCCCTGAACTTACTAGGAATGAGGGACAGAAGTGGACAGAAGTGGACAATATCATCAGGGAGCCCAGATCTGATGGAAGGCTTGAAGGTAAGCAATTATAATTCAGAGTGACAGGGGCTCTTAGAAGAGATCTGTACCAAGTGCTACCAAGCTACATGTGGAGAACATCACCCAGGAGGTTGTGTCTGAGTTGGTCTTAGCAGATGAAGGAGTCTAGGCAGCCACAAAGACAAGACACTCAAGGCAGGAAACAAGTATGCACAAAGAACCTGGAGTACAGAAGAATGTGGTATGTCTTGGGACTAGAAAGCAGTTCGGTGAAGCTGAAGTGTTGTGTTTTGAGGCAAACGGTTTCAGGAGATGACACATAGGAAGCAGCCAGGGCGTAAAGGGAACTAGTTGCCTTTATCTCTGTGCCTTTAGCAGAGGGCCTGACTAATACTAGGTTCTCAGAGACTACACACGGGATGACTGCAGTGCACTACCTCACAGACCAAAGGCACCTAGCCTTCCCTAGAACGTAGTACCTACACAGTGAATATCAAATAAGTAATTATTTATTAATAATAAAAAAAATCAAGTCTACAGCCTCAGCAAGTGGAATTATATTCTCACAGATAAAACTTCCAGGGTCACAAAGACTGCCCCGAAAAGGCAATTTTTGACCCTGATGTCACAGATTTCAAAACTACGATGTAGTTTTTATGTACAACCTTAAAACTGACAGCCAGTGCCACATCCGCACTTGCGTAATGTCTCTTTTGATGAGCTAAACCCATGTGTAAAACCAAGACAATGTTATGCTGATCTCTCCTTTCATGGACCAAGAGCATCTATACTGCTTTTCTTTCAAAGGGCATGTGAACTTCAAAGTTACCATTGGAAAGAGATCCTACGCACTTGCTTTAAATGGTTATATAGCTTCTAATTTGATAAAAACATAAACAACCACTTCGGTGGTTTTCTGATTGTTAAGTGCATTTTCTTAGAGACTGGCATTCAAGACAGATTTTGTCTTTTAGGCCCCAAGTTTGCATTTGAAAAGAAAACAGCGTGTGCCCTAAAACAAGGTCAGTTAATCTCTACAATCTTTCTTCCTCCCAATTACTGTGAATGAGCATCTTCTCAGAACTCAAGTGACCATGACTCTCCTTTCTGCCTACTAAAGACCTGTCTCAGCTTCGCAGATTTTTTTTTTCGGCTGTACAATGGAACTTGGATGCATTTTAAATTAACTTTCTCTAGGAATCAAAGGTAATCATTATTTCTCTTTATGATCCCCATGAATATTCTCATTATTTTTTTTTCTTTTCAAGTTTAAGATTAGTTTTGAATTCTCTTTACATCTCTGCCCTCTTTCAGAGTAACCTCTGAGGACCCAAGCTTGTGCAAAGAGGATGGAGGAAAGCCTCCAAAGTCTGTTCTTACTGAGCTGGCCCAAACACTTAGAAGAATATGACCGGAATCAGCAATCCCACTTTCTGTAAGTGTTGGTCCGAGTATCGGTTATGACCTTGTGTGTGCTGTTGCTTTTCTCTGGCAAGAATAAGGAAAACTAGGCCAGGGTCCTAACCTTGGCTCTGATACTTGAGGTAGAATAAGCCTAACCACCTCATGGACCTCTGTGATAGTGGATAAGTTGTGTCCTATTTGATCTTCACTTTCTTCTTATGAAAGACCAAGGCAGCTTTCTTTGATGGAACACCATGGAGATGGCATGCAATCATATAAAGAAAGACCCTCCTTTATAAAGGGCTGTGCATATATAAGGTAGCATTGTTAGTCCCTGCTCATCTCTCTGTTTTATCTGGCTTTCCTTTCTCCTCTTTTTTTGTGGTTACATTTTTTGTCTACGATAAACCATCAGAATTGGAAGGGATGATATCTAGACTGCCAGTGAAGTCAGGCAACCTTTTCTTTAGGTACAGCAAGCTCTGTTTTGGAGATGGGTCACTGTGGTCTTTTGATGGTTCATTAATAGTCTTCTGGCTTGGCAAAATTGACAGAGAAGGCTATCAGTCACTCGGCAAGGCTGCTGTGAGACACGTAGTCTCATACCACCTGATATATGAACCACTCCATGTGATTAACTTCGACAGGTAACTCCAGGCCAGCTGGCAAGCTGAAGAGCATTTTAAGTACAAATACTAGTTCCGGGGTATGTCTTGAGTGATAGAATAATGACTGAGTGGAACAGAGTCCCTTAATCTTTGCTTGTGAAAACACTTTGGTTTCCTTTCAAGGCCGGGATACTTTAACAAAACCTCCCAGAGATATTTGTTGATGCTTTGGAGTTTGGTATTTACTAAGCTTATACCAAATATAGAACTGCCTGGGAGGGCCAGGCTTATGCATCTCAGTCATCGAAGGACCTAGCATAGCGCTTTACAACAGTTTAATAATAATAACAACAATAATATCAGTGATGATGATAATAATGGCATCATATCATCTCTATTGCTACAGACATACAAAGTGCTCAACCATCCACTGAGACAGATCTTATTGTCCCCACTTGACATGATAAAACTGAAACTCAGAGCAGTGAAGTAACTTCCCAGTGACACCCACCAATGAGTGGCATGTGGGTCTCCTGTCCAGAGTCCTTTCTAATAAGCTTTTCTGAAATTGAATGGAATAGGACAAAACATTTCAGTATACGTATTCTATCTAATCATCATTTATTATTTTCCTCAGTTGATTCTAGAGGCGCTCAATGTCCTGAAGATGAGATAGGCCCTCCAGGGCTTCAAGGCAGAAATTATAGACTGATTTCAGGGCTATTTTGGAATGAGATGTGCCCTCTTTTTTTTCCTTTATGGTACTGCAAATAATAAGACTCCTTGTGTAATTTCACCTCCGCTTGGATTCTTTTGGTGGTCTGAAAAATTGAAGACTGTAGGTCCTGCCTCAAAGAACATGGCCTTCTAGAGCTGGAAATGTTTAACTTTTAAGACTTCATTGCAATTCATAGTATAATGTACTCAAGGCCTACTGGTCAGCCTGGGCTAAGTGTAGCCTGTTCAGAATTACAATCACAAGTCATCACATATTGACAGCTACGAGCAGATTCCACCTCTGCATCAGGTGATCGAGTTTGGCATGGGAACCTAAGTGGAGTAAATTAAACTCAAAAGAGTATTTACTAGCATTAAAAATGGCACTTCCCTGGCACACAGATGTGAAAAGCTAATTCCCACCACAGCTTCATCACCTGCTCCGTCTCTCTCTGCTTTTGCCGTAGCAAAGCTCTGTAAAGAAACTGGCCACCAGGGTCATTATCATCTGTGTTAGCTAAAAATTTGATTAAGCTGGCCTCCTAGGGCTAGCATGAAAAATGCTCGATTTTCGTTCTGAGAACTTAATTCCTCTTTCCCTCTTTTCGTCATGTTTGCAAATTTCATTTGCATTTTAATTTCCTGTGGTTTGCCAAAGTCCAGACTGAGACTTGAGCTGTTGTTTCCATTCAGGTGAAAAGTGCAAACACACCTGACCACCTGCACTGGCGTACAGTCCAGCGATTGGCCAAGGCAAGTGTCTTTTTGCATCCTTCTAAGCATCCTGAGGAAGCTTTGCTACCTAGCCCACCAATGAATTTAATGAACGGAGGAGGCCTTGTCCAGGTTCCAGGACGAGCTTAGTCCTGGTGGTGCTCATCGAATACCAGCAATGTCCTCTCAATATTCCAAAATAAGGAGAAATTACACTAAAAAAGTCTTGAGGCTTTGGCCCATTAGAGCATTTTCCAGGGGCTTCATTTACGAAAGACATCAATGCCACCAAATGAGGGAGAGGTCCCTACTGTGATCTACTGGGATACAACCTTAAGAAAGCCAGTCTCTTTTTGGGTACTGGATTTTCAGTGTGTTCTGAGTCAAGTTGCCGGTTCAGTAACATCAATGGGGGCTCCTATCCGACTCCCATCTAAAGGAAAATAAAGTGAAATAGGGGATCAACGGGTGAGACTCTATCATTCCTGCCAAGCAGGCAAAATGCTGACTCTTTAGAAAAGATCACCTCTCTGTGCCTCAGTTCCCTCGTCTGTAACATACAACCTCACATGGTGGTTGTGAGGACTAAAGAGTAAAGCCCTTAGAATAGAGTTTGTCACAGTAGCTGTTCAAATGCTAGCCATCAGTGTTGCTGTTACGTCACCTAAAGTTAATATATTTTTCTGTTTGTCTTTCCTCTAGGAAAGAATGTGGAGATTCCAATCTGATCCTCTTCCATGTGATCTCTTGTACCCATTCTCTTTCTGTACCATACACAATAAAGTTTGAGAATTTCAAGTAATCTGTCTGCCTCTGACTTTTGTCTGGAAAAACCTGCAGAGTCTTCAGATCGAAATATCAATATATCGCTTGTCTTGTCTTCAAGCTATTTAGTATTGATCATTTTTGCAGCAATGATGCCTTAAAGCCAAAATTTCACTGTGCTATCAAAGGAGCCACCTGGGAAAGCACATTTAAACACACTTAGCTTTCCTTTCATTTCATAACACGGCACATTTTTCCTGACTTTAGGCATAAAAGACATTCAACATGGTCACCATCGTGGCGATGTTTACATTAAATTATGACTAGCTTTTAGTACCCAGCTATTTAAGGTAATAACTAGAATCAATTTTAAAATCCTATTTATGGAAGAAAATTTGCCTAGAAGAACTCTTCTGATATTCATTTCAGCTTACACTTCAGTCTAATTCAAAGGCTTTGTTCCCTACCGTGGTGCTCATCAAGGTGTCACCTGCATTTAACCACCTTCCCCACAGATTCTGATGTACATCCAGGTTTGGGAACTGTTTTTTAAACCTGTCTGATAATCAACACATGCAATATGGTGTTGATGTGATGGAGATCACTTACACAGCAGAGTGTTTTCCAGGATATTAAAAAGACTGTTTTAAAAAAAACATTCAGATTTATCTCACCAGTGGCATCCACCATGTTCCCAGGAAGTCATCTTTAGCTGTCTGCTGGCGCTGTGAGAAGCTATTTCAAGGTCTCCTCTCAAGAGACTCTTCCAGACTGGTGTTGCAGACTAATAAAGAGGAAGCTAATTGCTGAGATCTATTATTGGAGTGGAAAACATAGCACCGTCTTTGTTTAAGGCTGAATCTCCATGACAACATCAGATAAAAAGCTGGGTTAATGTTTCTGTTCCCTGCACTCAGTGGGCCACAGGTCATGGCCTTCTGTAAGTAAAGTGTGCCGATACATTCTTATGCAATCATTCCAAGCTACTCAGTAGGGCAACTCTGAATTTATTTAGCCCTGAAGTCTTCAAAGAGACTCCTATTTTCAAATCTTCATCGATGCCTTTCTGCCCAATCAGGTAGTGAAAATTGTCAGGATAACCATTGCTTCAATTACCATTGCTGTTAAAAATTGGCTGTGATCTGATGGCGAGGCAGCCTGCTCCTGAGGGTGCTGGAATGTGCACTCCTAGGTGCTAAATTCAGCTTTGCCCCGCTCTAGACTGTGATGTGGGTGCACTGCTTACTCTCTGTGTGTTAGGGTTGTTATTAGGATTAAATTAGTTAGTGCTTACCATATGTTTAACTACAATGCTTGATATACAGTATAATGCTCAATAATTAGCTGTTACTCTTACTACGAATCTCACCAACTGAGCTATAGCTGCTCAGTTCATATGGTAGCCACCAGCCACATATGGCTCTTTAAATTTAAGTTTAATTAGAATGAAATAAAATTAAAAATTTTGTTCCTCAGTTGCACTAGCCACGTTCCTAATGCTCCATGGGTACATATAGCTAGTGACTGCCATATTGGACTGCAAAGCTATATAATATTGCCATCATCACAAAATGTTCTACCAGATAATGCAGAGCCATTGCCTAGAGAAAGTCAACAGGAGGATAAGAACTTCCTTACACAAGGGACAACTTTCGTTCTTAGCACTCTCCATTGATGGTGAGAATAGTCTGCAGGTTCTCTCCGAGAGTGTGGAGGCCCATTTCCTGCGTGGCACCTAGCAAAAGATGGAAAGATGGTTTACATTGTGGAGTGTGCAGTGAATTTTGTGACCTAAAAAAAATTGTTTTCCAGAAATGCTTTTCTCTCAGCTTGGAAGATTCCTCTCATTTCTTTCATACATTATTTGCAATGCTCTATATTTATTAATTCAATGGTTGCACGTAAAAGCAGGTAAGGCGGCAACTTTGTAGTCAGTACATGTCTTGTAGATCCCTGTAGCTGGCAGAGAGGACAATTTATTAATCACCACCCAAATTGAAGCAATGTACGTATTCATTTGGCAAACCGGTGTTGTTCCACAGCAGAAAAGCCAAGTTAAATATTCGAGGATGTGAACACAGTCTTCACCCGGTCTCCAGCAGCACAGTTCCAGGCACTTTTCACCCGTGATCGGCCAATTTTGGAATTCTGATGTCGGCTGGAAAGTGCTTGGTCCTTTTCCTCAAATTGATGTGTCTCATCTGTCCTCTGTGTGGTTAGACCCTGACGCGATTGCCTGGCAGGTGCTTTGTGAATGTTTGAGGGTGAGGGAAAAATACAGGCGAAAAGCAGAAGATGTCTACCATTTTCAACCAGCAGAAGTTTTATGTGAATCCTAAACAGTCAGTGATGCTGTGCATTGTCTGGCGGAGCCTCTGCTATCAATTTACATTTTGGGAGAACTTTTACTGTAAAGCTCGCACGGAAGGCTGGGAACAAGGACCAGTGTAAGATACTTCATCCCATACCAGCTCTGCCAAGCCGGCTGAGGACACTACAGCTGAAGGGAAGTCTCTCCCCGCATCTCGGATGCTCGTTCCTGAACTCAAGCCGTAAAATGGTCGGAGGAGGGAGGGGAAGGGAAGAACTGTCTCAATTTGTGAACTTGCGTACAAGCCACACATTTTTTTTTAAGGACAAAACCAATTGATTATATTGATCACTAAATGTTGTCTATAAAACACTATCAATGAATCTATATGCTGGAAGTGCAGAAAAAGATCAAAAGAAAAATCCACACAATTTTTTTAAAACTACATCGTCATCAATTAACTGTGACATCAGCCTGCCCTTCTATAACATGTTATAGTTTTGTTTTATCATGTGCTTGCACATATGGCACCTCCCGTCTTCTTCGGGGCATCACGCTGAGGTAGCTGGTGTCATCCTCACCTATAGAGGGACAAACGACAACTCAGGGGGTTATGAAAATCGTCCAAGGTGCTAGTGACAGAAGTAGCTTTAGAAACCCTTCTGATCCCATTATACACCAATGACTCTTCATGAAGGAGCCACAAGATTTATAGACTAACAAGTTCATTTTTAAGCCAAGGACAAAAAAAAATCCCTCATTATAAAAGATTCAGATTTATAACGCAGTCTGGAAGAAACATTTTTTTCCTTCTATCTGTAGATGATCACCAGCAATGAGGAGCCACTGATCACCTTCTCTACGGGAAGGAAAACAGCTCAAGCCAGATTGGAGAACAAAGATAGATGGCTATAGATGAAGGAGTGAATTCTTAATAGCAGATGATGACTTATGCTGTGTATCTCTCCAGGCCAGGAGGCTGGCATGGCTGAGGGGAGGGCCCAGGAGTCTGCCTGGCACTGCTTTTAGCCCTCCCCTTTCAAGGCAGTTACCACGCGGGTTATAAAGGCATTGCATACGCTCAATTTAAATCCAGGCTTCTTCTTTTTAAGCAGATAACCTTGTGAGGATTACTAAAGAGGTTAAATCAAGTCTGAAAAGAGAAAAGTTTATTTCCTTTGTCTACTAGTCTTCTTTTTAATGGAGCCTGACCCCAAACGAACTAACATGATTTGTGGAGTGCTTACTCTTGTTAGAGACTGGGCATATAAAGCTGAGACACAAGAAGCTCCAGCTCCTCCAGAAGTTTACATCCAAAGGAGAAGACAACTCCTTGTCAGACACGTTGCATGGATGCATAATACGAGTTTGTGTGGAGGGCTGAAAGTAGGCATTTCCTCCCATGAGGTGGCAGGGGACGTTCCAGTGACTTGAAGAATGAGGCAATATGAGGGAGGGTGTTCCAGACAGAGGGATCATTGTAAGTCAAGTCAAAGTGAATGAAATGGTGGCAACATTATGAGCAGCAGTGCTGGGTAGCAGATTGAGTACTTCCTACACACCAGCCACTATTCCAAGTACTTAACATGTATTAATCTATTTAACCATAATCACCTTATCAGATATGCATCATTAAACCCATTTTACAGATGAGGAAAGTGAGGCACAGAGATTTTAAGTCATATTTCCAAAGTCACACAGCTAATAAGTAGAGGATCTTGCCTGCAAGCTCAGCTATCTGGCCCCAGTGGCCATGCTTCTAACCGCTGTAGTGCCTTCCAGTGATAGGTACATGGTGCGTTTGAGGAAGATCCATTTTCTAGTGGAGTTGCACCATGGGACTTCTCAATCATAGTACTACTGACATTTGGGGCTGGACAATTCTTTGTTTCAGAGGGCTGTCCTGTGCATTGTAGAATGTTTAGCAGCATCCTTGCCCTCTACCCACTAGATGCCAGTAGCACCACTATCCTGCAATTGTGCACATGAAAATGTCTCTAGATATCGCCAAATGCTCTCAGGAGGCGCAATTGCCCCAGTGGAAAACCACTGGACAAGCATATGACACGTGAGGCTGGAGAAAAGCAGAGAAATACATTAGAACTCAACTGTGAATATCCTCACATTCCATTCTGAAGGCTGTGGGAATGTAGGCAGTAGAAAGCAAGGTGCCACTTGGGGTTTAGTAACTGAGGAGCAGCAGAAAAGCTGTTGCAGAAGCATTAGGACGGGAGGTGCTAATGAGAGACACACACACTTCTGAGCTCTCAGGAACAGGATGTATTCTCAGACTTTCTAAACGGTATGTTCAAAAGCCCTAAAGCTATAGGTAGCAAAGGATAATCTATAAGAACAGTGCAAAAGTTCAGGCAACCGTTTCACCCATTTGTCCCTGGAATGCAGCCAATCCCTGACTTGAAAGCTCAAAACTCAGAATTGCATTTCGGGTAAAAAAGCTTCTGGATCTGGGAAAAAACTGACCACCTAGTTTTCTTAAGAAGATCTAAGAAGAATCTAATTCATGTCATGTCATTGTGTAAGTGTGTAGGTGTGGAGATAGTTCTGTCAACTTTGGAAAGGCCATTCCTGCAGAAATATTTACTGG